CGAATGCAAAAATTCTGAATGCTTTCAGATTATATATTAAGCCCAAAGATTTTTTTTTCACTTACACATTAACACGCTTCGAAAGCATTTGGATTAACGCCAATTTGGACGAAAATATTTAAAAACAGCATACCTTTAGAATTTTTTATAGACAGTTTCGCGGGGGCTGAAGATACATTTTTTAAAAATAAAGTGTTGCTTTTGTTCTCTTTGAAATCATTGAGATTCTTAATCAAATCTTCGCTAAAATTTGAAAAATATGAAATACATACTAAACCAAATTCGAAATTCAAGATTCGGGCTTCCAGGCGTCCATATTCGGGTGGAGGACTACGATATCAAAAATTTTATGGCTCTAGCTATCGTTATTTTTTCCGCGATGCGAGAAACATCCATCCATCCATCCAGATTCTTCATTATTTAATTTATTTATAATACACAGCGGTAATATTTGGTGGCATCAATTTCAGAAGGGCTACAGCCGTTTATATTTATTCTACGCGAAACGTTTTTCCGAGACTAACAGCCTTTCTGGGATAACGTCCCTTTGAGCTAAAAATTTAGTAAATAAAAAAAGTATTTTTCACCTTTTACACAACAGTATTGTTACAAAATCTACAGGCCCGGTAAGATGGCTTACCCGCAAAGCAGTTTTAGGGTTGCCATAAAATGGCAAGGGAAGGCAGGGTTGCCACATTTGGCGACAAAATTGACGATATGCCATGGATGGATGGAGAACCTTCTGGAACGAATTCTTACCTGTTTAGCCCAGAATGTTCTCGAACACAAGCCGAAAGCTATATAAACCCTGCTGGTCCGCAGTTAGTTGGTGTGTGTGTGTGCCTCCTCTAGCGAGCTAATAGTCATTGAGCGAGTGTCTCAAAGTCTAGAGATGGCCGTCGAGTGCATCGAGAGAGTCTTTTAGAGCATCGTGAATTAGTGCATCGTCGAGTTTTGTCTTAGACTGTGCTGAGTCGAGAGCTATACTCTTGTGTATCGTCGAGTGCATCGCGTGGAGAGTCTCGAGAGTACTTGGAGCTCCGAGAACGACCAAGCAGAGTTGAGAGCTGTACTTTGCAGTAAAGCTGTCTCCACAGTTATAGCCTGACAGTGTAAAGGCTGTGTCTCTGAACGTGTCAGCGTGTTTATAACCGTTCGACGACTGTAAAAGTGATTTTGAAGTTATTGATTAATATTGGTAAATAAAGGGTGTTTCGATACTTCATCAAGTATCGTCGTTATTCACTCCAAATCTACGAACCCCGTACGAACGTGAAGGAAGAAAATAACGTAACAATTGGTGTCAGAAGAAAGAAAACGCAACAGTATTTTCCCATGTGCGTACGTCATTATTGCAACTCTTTACATAAACACGTTGCTATATTAAATGAAGTAAAGCCGAGAATTTGTAAACTCTAACCCCCTCCCTCCAACAAAATCGAAGACGCATTTTATCTGAGTCGGTACCCTAATTCAATTTATTTGCATGAAAATTTATTATTTTTCTCCCTGTCTTCAGAAACTGCGGTGTCCAAGAAATTGACTCTTGTTCATTTTATTTTTCTACCTCCAGGACAAACTTACGTTAATTTTAGAATTTACTATTTCATGATATATAAAAATCTCTACCTAAACAAAATATGTTGATGTAACTAAAATATATTTCTTTTAGGGAGAAAAACTATGTATTATTTTTCTACAGTAATAAAATAAGCTCAATTTTTTCCCACTTTCCACTAACATATTGAACATATTTCATCGCGAAGTGTTTCTTTTTTTCATCGTATTTCTTCTTTCTGAGTATAACGAACTCGATTCAGCTGAGCGATCAATATTCTATACTTAAACTGTGATACGGATTACATGCTGAGTAATTTCTGTCCTATTATTCACACACAGAGGTACTTCATTATGTCTTAGATGAATACCTTCTTAGGGGATATTATAGAAACCGCTGAGGCTTCTAATCAATATTCCTTTATTGGTGTTTTTGCGCAAGCAAAATCACAGCCTTCCATAATCCTAAAGTTTAGATACCTTTTAAATTCCTAATATGTAACTAATTTGCTTTTTAAATTGAGGTATGTCGTCTGTTTCTTTAAAATATATTTACCGTATATTCGCGCACCTATAATTTCACACTACATTAAGAAAAAAATTAGGTATGTTCGCAGCATAAAGCGCATCCTTTTCTTTAAGAAGAAATCGGAAATATACATATGCGATGCTGTTATCTTTAAATGGCATTCATTCGAAGATTTTTCTCAGTCTGTGGAAGAACATGCTGAATTGATAAGGGATAAGCGGAACAATATGTGTGTAGGAGAAATTCTCGATGCAGTGAATAATTCTGCAAAGGTAGTGGGTAATAATGCAGGTGTGCACAAGAATATTATTCTAAGGTTTCGAGGAAAAGGAGACATGTTTTTGGGTAAGAATGAACTAATAATTAAAAATTATGTAATAATGGATATTTTTAAGTTCATAAGTTGTGCCATTTCAATTTAAACAAACAACATTTAGGTACATGTAGGAACCTAATTTCATTATGCTCTTTTTTTCCCTTTTTTAAATGTATCACATTTATATACAACGCATACTGCGCACTCGGGAATTTCGCTCTTAATTTTGTATAAAAAGTGCGTATTATACGCTGGAGTATACGGTAATTTGCTTTTTAAATACATAGCTAAAAAAGGAAAAAAATAAATACATTTTGATAATATTATGTTACATATTACACTGAAGTGATATTTAAAGGATAATCCGATAAAAGCGTAAGCTCACATTTTGCCGGATGGTTTTGAATTCGAATTTGATTGAAAGGCTAGATTTGAAATGCTTCTTTCAGTGAGAAGGGGTTCTTGCACACTTACATTATGCAGGTTAAGAATGCTTTAGACGAGTATGCAGTGCTTGGGTGTGATTAAACTGCTAATAATAAAGCAAGTTTTTACTGCTATATATTATGACAGCGTTAAACTATCCAATTGATAGAATGGAATCCACACGAATTATATCATAGGCGTCAAAACATTTCTAGTGAGTTTGTTGTATCTATAGAGATGTATGTAATGAGATTTACTATTCATATTAGGTTGGACGAAATGTCTTTCGCTAACACAGCAGTGTTTTGTGTGTTAATTTCATATCAAATGCAAGATGGACAAGTTTGAATTTATATGGAGAGCATGGTAGCCAAAATTCCATGGCTTGGAGTCGATTTCACTTCAAGGATGTATATAAATTTTTATTACAGATCACTTCTGGACGTGTACATACCTACAGAGTCCAAAGCAGAGCACATTACCAGCAAAATCTTCGAATGTTTGCAGTTAACGATTAAGTTGATGATTTAAGTTGGAATAAAATCAAATGGTCGCATAAGACTTTCAAGTCCGTTCTTTACATGCTCAGAAGTGCAGAAGTAGGATCTATGATTTACCTTCAGATGCTTTTTGGAATGACGTTAACAATGGTCTTCTTAATGGACAGTAATCAATGATTTTCTCAAAATATTTTTGTTTATGAATATTGGAAAGTAATAATATCAGAAAATGAAATAAACTGCACAGTTCTTAGACCTAAATGCGATTGATCACTGAAAAAATTAAAACCGAAATGTTTAATAACTAACTCCAAGGGATGATAAATATATTTATGAAGGAATGGAATAAGTCTGCAAACATTTCTTTTCAAAACTTATACAAACAAAATTTAATTTCTAAATGGTATAATACTTTTTTCCCTTAAAGCTTATGTTTCTAGCTTTTGTTTTTGAGAAAATTATGTGCTTCGATTTAGGAATAGAGGCATTACATCTAAATATTCTGTAATTGAATCTTCGTTGTTAGTTGATATAATTTGGAAAGCAGCTGGATTTATACCCAAGTATATCAATTATATTTTAGCATTAATTCTGGTAAAACTAGTAATATTTTTCACACTTGGATTCATTAAGAGAGCTAACTGTTTTCTACTTTCAGCACTAAGTGCATTTCTTATTCTTTACTATTCGAAATTGGTCACAAAAAGCAACAGATTAATTACGAACACTTTTACTCGTTTAAATGTAGTCAGGTATGTGTTTCTAGAAAGAAATGGAAGAATCATCTAATAAAACTTTCTCTGCCATGAAAGTGAATCCAACTTGTGACCTACTATTAGTTGAAGAAAAACGATTGCGACTAATATGCTACTAAATATCTCTCTTTATTTCATTTTCAGTACATAGTATGCACTGAGTTCTTGATGTAATTTTCTGCCATAAATTATTATCTTCGATCCATATAGTAATCGAATCTGATTAAACTGCTAAACATCCTTTGAACTCGGTCACATGTCTCCCCAAACCCTTTATAGCTTACCTGCTTCTTAATATTTTGTCATCGTTGCAATCAGGTGCCTTCTTCATCCTCTTCGAGTTAAAATTAAACATATTCAAGACACATATACAATTTCAAAAAACGATATCAGTTTTTCTATGGAATTTATTAGGATTCATCAGATTTTTGGCAGAAATCAAATACTGGACCTATTAAATTTTATTTTTGTTCCTTTTACAATTTATATTAAAAGTCCGTTGAAATTCGTATTTATATTCTTCCACAGCTTACGCTATTTTCATGTTACTGAGCAAGCCTTTTTTCAATTTATGTTAGACTAGAATGATTTTGAAATTACAATTCACTGTTCCTCTAAATTATTTTAGAGCCAGATTAGCTTAAAACCAGTTTATTGAAGTTAGGAAGATTAATATTCTTTCGCACTAAAATTACAAAGAAGCTTTTTTTTAATTATCCTACTGATGCCCATTGCTGTTTTCATATCTCTCTTAGTCCACTTACACGGCTAGTCGCTTCTTCAAAGCGATTCACTCATCTTCATTTGGAGATCAGCACATGCGCTGCAGATGTCCTGACGTCACTTCTCCGCCGCGAAGTGGGATCCAAGAGCGAAAATTCGAAGTGGAGTTTAGTTGCCCACAGCTCTCGCAGAGATCGTCTGCTAGAATTCAAGGTAGCTTGTTCAGATGTAGCTATTTGAAAGTTTGGCAAATTTTTGCTTAAATAAATTGCTTTGATATTGTACCGTTTTCGAAGACATATAGTTTTCTTTTAGAATGTATAATTTCACATGGATTTACAAAATCTGTTGCAGTGATGAAAATTCAAAAACGTATAAATTTTTTAAAAAATAACTGAAAACTTGACAAATGAAATTTTGCTTTGGTACGTCAACAAGTACGGATTATTACACTGTCGATCACAAAAATATTAATATTCCTCATTAAAGCAGTGTCCAGAAGGATATAGCATTTTTACTACAAAAAATCTTTTCGAGTTTTTTTATCTAAAAGTAAGACTTTGGGCTTCATGAAAGTGAAATTTGGTAACTTCAGACATTTTGGATTGATCTCTATATAGTACTTGGTAAACCATTACAGCTTAGAAAACGTAACTTTATAGAAAGTTTTCTAATAACATGCAACTAGCCTCGTGTTATGTTGGATCTGTAAAATAGGTGAGAAAAAGATTTTATACTTTTTTTTTTTTAATTTTTTAAAATTTTAAGCTATATTGTTATTACATTTTAAGAGAAATTAATGTTATTTGTTATAGTTAAATTATTCACGGGTAATTTTCCATGTGCATGCAAATTTAATTAAATGTATTTTCTTATGTTTTTTGGCAAAGTTAAGTTGACTGATGATATGAGCTTCAATATATATCGTTCTAAAGTTAATTAGTGACAGATGCTTTATTAGAAATTATTATAAATCTTTGAATACCTGGCTTAATTATTTTAAATATGTAATATTTCCTTTATTTAAAATATGAGTAAGATATTTGTTTTTAAAGTGTAAAAATAACAACCCAGTTAAATAAGGATAAAAATGCGATTGTTTAAAAGTAACTGTAGACTATTAAGTTAATATGTCATTTAACAATATTGCAAAATTTTAACGTATATGAAAAACCAATATAAAACTATCTGCCTTCTATTTTTTAACATCTGTGAAAAAGCGATATAAAACTTATGATCTAAAACTAGACAAGTATAAATATAGCTGTTATACTGCTATAATTGTTGTAGCAAAAAAAAAAAAAAAAAAAAGTAATGGCTCTCAGTACAGAAAAATATTTTTAATTTCAATAGAAACCTCCCACGTTAAAAATCCAAACAAAAAGGAATCAAAGCTAAATAATTCAGCTTTACTTGATAATTTTTTTGGTGTTTTCCAAATCTGATAGAATGTCGGAGTACTCTTTTTTCTTATATGTTTGTTAGAAACATCAAACTTTTCCCTGGGATGCCATTCAAAGGAAGCGAAACTGCAAAATTCAAAAGTTACAAAAATAAAACCTAAAAAAACAAATCTTTTAACTCCTCCAATAGAGAATCTTCGCGTCTGCTTCCATCAGAGTTGGTCTCACTAGAAATCCCCGTTTCGAAACAGCATTCTATTGACCAAGCTCTTCTGAATTTCCCTGAAGAGCTTAAGGCAAGGACTATTCGTGGACGTGATCTGGAGCTTTAATGCTTTCAGGGCTTTGTTTGATGGCCCCCGAGCTGTGAGACGAATACAAAATCTCTGTTCCCGAAAGCTGATCTTAATGTGTCCGGGAAATCTCCTGAAATCTTTATTGTGCCTTCAGCCCCACATGAGAGGAGTCATGCTCATCGTTCTGCTGTTCATTTATGGTCGTCTTACAACAAGTAAGTGCTGTTTGATTCACATTTCGTCTCTTTTTATAGTTTTTCTTTTTAGTGATCTATTTATCATAATCCTTTAGAGTCCTAGTTCTCCTTTAGAGTTCCTGAAAGTTTCATGATATAATTACTGTTAAGTATATGGTATATTTATAACTTTCAATTCAGTGTAACTTGAATATATTGGATTCAAATGAATATGATACTTTCATATAGTTGCGACGTCCTATATAAAGATGTCAAAGAAAATGAATTGGAATATTTTATGAAAATTTTAACCTTGGAGAAAAAACGTTTACGTTTCATAACTTGATCATTTTTATTTGCTGAAAAATCTATTTATTTTAAATCAAAGCATGTATTGTAGCATATGCATTCGGGATATTTTAACTAAACAAGAGAGATTGTATCTTTTCTAAGACTTAGTAACGTCTGTAATGTAGTGAGTTTTAAGCAATCAATTTAAATTTCGAGAAAAATATGCATAATAATAATAAACATAATATAAAAATATGTTGTAAAATTATCATGGTAAATCTTTTTTCTAGTTTAGATGGAAAATATCAGGGAATTTAATTATGAATCCATATACCTTTTCATTCTTTTTCAATATCCCCGAGTGCATAAAATGTTTATCTCTTTTACAATTTTTCAAAACTCCTGAGTTTAACAGAAATTTTTAGCCAAACTGTCTGCTATAAATATCTAACTGTTAAGCAAATGTAACAGACGAAGTCAACAAAATAATCGGCATTTTCTTTAAAAATGAAAAGAAAGCACATCCCAATCTAACCAACTCAAATACCTACATAAATCCTAATTTCTCAAATTCATCAACTCAAATTAAATTATTTAGCAAAGTTTTTTCAATAATTTTATTTCTGTGGAATATAGATCAAAGAGCTTGTCTGCTGTAGAGAAATTCTCATGATTCGTCCACTGCTAATCAAGAGAAAGTTATACCAAAACTTTTATGATACAATACGCTGGTTTTCTAACGTTAAGCACATCGAAAGGTATTCAGGAAAATTTGACGAACCTCAGTGATAGTATTTATTATACCACTTGCAACATAAAAGCATAAGGAAATATTATACGGAGTATTTACATTATGTAATAAAATTAGGAACATAAAATCTTCTAAATTCGGACATGAAAATTAAATACTAAAATTTTTCTCAAATACTGAGTATGTTCATCCGAACTGCAATTGAAACTTGGCAGCGATGTCTCATGATATTTGTGATATTGTCGATGAAATGTATATTTAGCACATGTCCACTGATAGGAAAAGTAGTTCTAAGCTTCTCGAGAATCTGGGGAGATGGTTGGAAGCTAGCAGCACACCTCTCGAGAGCGTATCACTCATGGTCAGGGAATTAAGGTTGGGATAGCATACCGGCCATTCTATTTCAGCTATAGTTTCTTCTTCAGGAAATTGTTGCAAAGCGAGCAGTGTGAAGACGGATAATATCTGCTTGGAACATGAAGTTATCGCCGCTTGCGGCACCTTACGGACAAACAAATAGAATCAACTTATCGTCTCTTGTAGCTTTGATCTTTATAGTTCCCTCTGGCAGAACACACAGGTCTATGTCCAACTAAAAATACCCCTAATCGTAAACGAAGGGTACCTGCTGCACAGATATATCTTTTTCTTATGTCAGACGGAAAATGGTAGATTAGACGGTCGAATATTTGCTTTTATACATATGAAAACACGTTGACTGTTACTCTGTGAAGCAAAGCGAGACTCATTTGTAAACAGAACTGACCTCCACAAATATTCAGTCTAATTTGTATGAAAGCGTGGCAGATTCAAATGCTCACTCCGGTGGCTGGAGTTACGCGGAATGCACTATATTCGTCACATATCTATTTCGTAGATTTTTCTGATTACTGTCGTCGCTGATAGTGTCCTTCCTGTAGCAGAAATAGACGGGTATTAATCTGAGATGAAGTTTCAGTTCTGTTGCGATGTGTCTAAGTTGTAAATATCTGGCATCTGCAAAATTGGTAATTCTTGACCTACCGCTGATAGAAGGACTGAACCAGAATAGGAGGACTGAACTTCTGTATGTGCTATACTAAAAACCAATACTGGCCCTGGTAATTGCTCCCATATTGTAGTAGTAATGAGCTAATTGTTGCTTTGGATAGCTGCGATCCTGATGTGTGGACTACCTAGTTAAGTCCGCTGTTGCATTGGGACGCATGACATCGGAATGCTGCTGGAATAGTTCATCGTTTCTCCATCCAAGTAGTAGTTGAAGAAATGAATTAGTTCCAGGTCCGTACTCATCAGTGTTGTGACCTCTTCTAGCTCTCTTCTAATAGCTTCTGTGTCTGACTACTGTTTCTTGACACCATTTATTAGCAAAGATGGAAAATGAGGCTGGTCGATTTCTTTACTGTACTTAAAGGTGTTTCAACTGAAATCAGGCTTGTAGAAGTCAAACCTTACACTGCCAGGCAAGAGCGAGATGACACATGTCTCGCCATCATTTAGATATATTTTCTAATCCGGAACGCTGACTGGCATCAGGTTCACCACGCATATGCATCTGAAATAAGTTTAAAAGGTAATTTCAAGGTAAATATCAGAATATTTTAGCGATTTGCACTGAGTCTATATTAAAGGCCTCTTGATATGAGGATCTCATACATCAAAATTTTCCACGTCCTCTGGTATGGTCATCAACCATAAGGAATCGGAATATTTAAAATACAGCACCCTTCTGTACGGTGATTCATTCCAAATACTTTAGAATACCGTGCATTATTTAATTCTAAAATATTGTATACACTTTTATAGAATATGTTCTTATGATTAAAATTCATGTATTCTGAAAGTTTCATCCACGGCTCTGTTCCTAACAAAGAAATGATCTATCCTTATTTATAAAATATCCTTATTTGGGCCAAGTAGAACCCAACTGTCTTAGAATATCTTGAATGAACAAAGAACTGGATGGCCAAGTGCAGATAATTGATCCATATGTAAAGCAATCATAAATTACAGCTAAAATCTTTATACAGCCAACAGTCTCAAATATTTATAAAATTAACATTCTATATTCTAAACAACGCAACTTTATGCATATGAGATTTCGATTCGTTTAGAATGTAGCTTCTATTTTAAATATAAAAAAAATTGCTTTAAAAATATATTCTGTTTTTGCATAAAAGGGTAATTTGCACACTGGTTTTCAAACTTTATGCAGCAAATGCAAACATTGCGGTAGATCGCCAAAAGATTTTTCGAAATTCTTGAAATTTGTATATGTTACAGCTAAAAGTAAGCGACACTGAGCAGCATTTTGAAAATAGGATTGTCATCGCTTATTGAATAAATGCGATAAAACGTAAAACTAGCTGTGTCGGCGTGAAACATTTTTCAAGAAGGACGGTATATTACACAATTTCGAGATAGCTAATGTAAAGATGAATCTGAAATGGGCACATTAACAAGTAGAATAGCACTGCAGAGCTATGTCCATTTGAAGTAGGCCAACGATATTCTGACATTGCAAGGTAGCTAAATGTCGACAGTTTCGTAATACCCTGGCTGTGGAACCAATTTGTAATTACTACAATATGGGAGCAATTACCAGGGCCAGTATTGGTTTTTAGTATAGCACATACAGAAGTTGCCAGGCGAGGTCTCGATGACCATCGCTCCGAGTTAAGAAATATAGATCCAATAATCATCAAAATAAGCGGAATTAAGCTCGCGGTGCTTCTGTTTCTATTCTTGCTAATAGATGGTGCCACGATACACCAGGTATCGTGCTGCTGCTGTACCATGCTGCTGCTGCAAGAGCTGCCAAAATCGAGCTAACTATGAGGCTGCCACAAATTAATAAAATTTATAAAATGTACGCTTCAACTAAGAATGAGATTTCCTTTCAGATTTTCGTGTTCACTCAAATTTGATGATTTTATTAGTAACACTATAACGCCTAAAGTATCTAACCACCTGATTATTATTGTTCTGCTCATTCTTAAAATTTATCTCTGTGTTTAAGGAAGGTATCGTCATTGCTAACTTATAGCTGTGTTTACTAGATTCAACACGTAGCTTAAAATCTCTCACCGCTGGTGAGTTCAACTTAAACTAATGCAATATAAAATATAGTTCTTCTTGACGTAGCAGCTTGCTAAAACTTATTATTAGTTGCACTACAGTTGCAGTAAATCTAATGAAATCGAGGGGTCCAACGGACAAGGTTCAACTAATTTACATCACTTAAACCAACCATGCCAGTGTCAGACCTTCCCTCTTCAAAGTATGTACTGTGATATGAAAAAAGTAATCAATTTTTTATTACTATTTAAAATATTTAAAGCTAGCTAGTCAAGGAATGTAAGACACTACCTATTAACCATCGATAAACACCAGATCTCCCCCTTCCCAGTCAATTGAACTGAAGTGACCTGATTTGCAACTTTCTTTCTATAAATAAACAGCAGCGGTGTCGGCGATGGCAAAATCTCTACTACGAGTCACGCCGGTTGCGATTTTTCTTCTCATTTTAACGCGCGTCCCTTGACGGAAAATATAAATAATCCTTTAGACAGCCAAGCCGAGACAAGAGACATTTGCGATTTTTCTTCCCATTATAACCTACGTTATTTGCTATGAAATCTACAGAATCTTATAGACTAAGCTAATGTATGACAAAGTGAAGAATAAATTAACGAATCAGTATAAGTTTGACTAGTAGTTAAATGAAATGTCTCAGGTCTAATTGGAATTCTATTCACTCAATAACGTTTTCACTTCTGATTATTTTTTCTTACAATATTCAAATAAGTACATTTCAAGAGAAATAACATTCATTTACTAGAACGAAATACATGCTTTTGTAATTTTCGCAATAACGCAGTTTTATTGAAAATGAACTAAATTCTTTTAATTTGCATCTTTGTTATTCCATAAATAAATAATAAATAAAAATTTAATAAATAAACACTTTAATAATTAACTTTACTAAGTAATTCCA